GGAGATACCAGTATGCGAGGAAATAATGTGCAATGCCATATACCCTCAAGAGCAGCAGATATTTGCTCTTATGAGGATAGGAGGACCACGGTACTCTACCGGTATACAGTCCTCACGGCCTATGGCTTTCGTCAAAGTCATAAAACCTGCGTCGCAACCAATCCATCACCAGCACCAACTCCACGGAAGCAGATAGGCGTGGAATGGAGCGCCGACGCCACTCCGGATAGTGGACTCCGCGTATCTCCAACAACACCCCTGTTTGCCGAAATGGAGCAGACTTGAATATTAATGCTGAGTATCTGAGACATCTTCGACATCAACGCTACTTCAAGGACAGTAACAGAATGAGACAACACATGATGGCACCAGAAGACCTATACCAATATGTGCGCCCAGACACCGATGCCTACCGATGGCCTCCGTGCTAAACTGGACGTGCATAAGGTCATACTGGATTGGCTATCAGCAATGCTCATTTGGAAACAGGAGAGGATTACTTGGGAATAGCCCCAACATTCCCAGATGTCCTAAACCCATCACCGTGGGATATCTACGCAGCTGAGATTCCTTGCTTGGGCAACCACCGAGGGAAACTACTTTGCGCCGATTCTGGAAGTTACCAGCTCCGCGTTTATGGTACCAACCCCTCGCATGGTTTTGAACACAAGGGATACGCTGAGCAGCACTTTGCCATGCGCTGTTGTACTCAAGGCAGTGTGACTAGCAGACCATGTGGTGGACAGGGTTACTACTAGTGATTCTGCTCTCCATTCCGCAGCACTACGATGCCGAGTGGGTACGACTCGCGACAACAATACGGCATGGACCAGCATCGACAGAAGCTGCATGTAACGGATACAACACTGCTACAGAAGCCGTACTATGACATGACTGCCATACCACCAACACTTGGTGATCTTCACACGTGGACCAGATGCGGGTAACAACATGCACGGATCGGACAACATAGCCACTCATCTGCACGTTACTGCACACTGTTCCGACCATTCACATCTCCAACTCCGACTTGCATCTGCCCGTCCTGGAGTTTGCCTACAAGTATGCTCCTGATGCCGCTACTGGACAGACGCTGTACTTCGTCTGTTACAGACGCCACCCGATCACACCACAACAGCTAACCATACCAGCCACAGTCCAACTGGCTTCCGATTTCATCGCCATCGTCCACCATCTTGTACATCGACCACACAAGCGCCCTCTTGGAAATCCAACATCAGCACAAGCACTTGGCAACTCATCACTACCCTTCTCGAGACCATAATCTCGACATCAGCCAACTTCCATCCAAGCTTCAACCTTGCTTCTGCGGGACTATCCTCTTTGAAGCAAAGGTCACTTCATTCACCTTCCGCTTCCGCCTCCCAGCCACTTGGAAGATCCATACCGCCTTCCATACCAGCTTCTTTAACCCTATCAAGACCAAACATGCTCTACACCAAATGCCAGCCAACGCCGCCGCCCGTGTTCATCCACGACATGGGACAACTACGTGCTTGGACGCCCGTGTTCAAAATGGCACTCTGGAGCTTCTTCTTGCTGGAAGGATTTTGATCCTTCTGACGCTGCGTCTCTGACCTCGACATGGGTAACGCCCGTCGTCCTCTTCGCGACTACCTTGTCAAGCAGGGTGTTACTTCTACCACCCAGCTTTGAAGGGGGGAAGTGTGAGAGTACGACCCCGTTACACTAATTTCCCCTTTCCATATTTCCTTTCTATTTCATTCCTCTTTTTATCCTCATTTATTTGGTCTTTATCTCATCTCATTTGGTTTCCTATTCCTCCTTTTCCATTATCCTTTGGTTTATCCTGTTATTATAATTATATCACCGACTAGGCTCGGGATGTACTGGCGTGCTATATCTAGCGTAATCCTGCCGTAATCCCTTAAAGCCAATAGCCTCGCGTGGCTATACGCATGGTGATTCTATTTCTAGAAGGGTCTATTCCCTTTGGATAGGATAAACCTGGTTACCTGATGTATCTTGGAAGTATAAAAGCACCTTGTATTGATTGATAGTGCAACATTGAGCAAACCTTTCCTCGGGACATTCGATCCTGTGACAGGAGGCGCCACAGGGACAGAAGGCGCGCCCCCAGTAGCTGGGCCCCCAGAGTCAGCTGACTCCCCCGCGGGCCCACCCAAGGGGAACTGAGTGGCATGGGAGACACCAGACTGGGCCGGGCCAGGTGGGAGTGGTGCGGCAGGTGGGGCAGGGATGAGGAAGAGAGAAGGAGGAGGCACAGGAGTGCTGCGGTGCAAGAAGTGCCTGTAGCAGGGGAGCGTCTTGTCGAACGTAATGCTACGAAGAGGTAGACCCGGCCGGGTCTCCTGGTGACGCGTCTATCTCTCTCGTAAGCGGTGGTGTGACTGGTGGTAGAACAGCCAGTCAGGGGTGTCAAGCAAAAAATCAAGAAGAGACAAAGAAGGGTGCAGGCTGAGAGCTTGTCCGCGCGAGTGTCGCGGACGTGACCAAGGCTGCCCCATATGTGAAACATAGAGCGTCACCAGGAGACCCGGCCCAGAGAAGGGTCAGCGAAACCTGTGGCCACTGGGAGTGCGGCCACAGGATAAGCTAGTGAAGTAGCGTAGCGCACTGCGAACGGCCACAGAAAATGGGGGTGCACCGGCGGTGACCATGGAGGTGCGAGCTACCTCCATGACTAGGCCGATGCATGCTCAGCAACCCCATTATGCTGTGGGGAGTCCGGGAGTGTGTACGTCTGGCGGATACCCTCCATACAACAGAACTGTCGTAGAGTGCCTAAGGCAATCTCGCCACCACGGTCAAAGTGTAGGCAAACTACGGGCAGGCAGTGCTGGATGCAAATAGCAAGAAGCCACGGGAGGAGAACGGTAGGCACGTCAACCTTTCGCTCTAACGGGAACACCATGGTGAAATGTGAAAAGTCGTCTACGACGACTAAAACGTAGCGCTTCCCGCCTAAGACCATGGACCAGGGCAGGGCCCTAGACATCCATCCCGTGCAGTATCTGTAGCGGCACTTTGGTAGGAGGAAACGAGGAGTGAGGGGTGGCGCGCTGCCGCCCTCGACGCAAGAGGTGAGCAATGGCATTACGGATGCAGGCAGGGCGGGAGCGAAGTAGGGGAGACCAGTGGACTAGAATGTGGTGGGACATGTGCCTAAGATGCGGGAGTGTAGCGTGACCTAAGCGGTTGTGCCACAGGAAGGGTCGGGTGGGCGAGGGAGCGACTGGAGCAAGATGCGGCTACCTCAGCAGACGCAGCAGTCAGCTGAGACTCAGTGAGCAGTGTGAAGAGACTGGACCGTGGTCACGCTCAAAAGTGGCAAGGTGGCGACTGGTGGCTGTGCCTGTGCAAACTGCGCATCTCTCGCCCCAGGGAACATGGTGGTGGTGCCTCGGTCCTAGAGGTGACCGACAACCACTAGGTCCTTGGCGAACGAGGGGATGTGTAGGCCCGGTGAGGGAATCAGAGGACAGCTGGACCAGGGGAGAGTGGTGGTGCTACGTGCGATAGCTGTAGTGGAGGAGTGGCCTAGCGCGATGAGGACAGGCGCCAAGAAGAAGGGTGGAGAGCAGTACTGTCTCTAAAGAAGCAACGAGATGCTCCTAGGATAAAGGAGAGTGTTGACATGGGGGGGCCAAGGGAAGATTCTTTAACAAATCCTATGCCTGACGTTGAGGGAGTCTACGCCTGACGCAACGGAGGATCCTAGACACACACAGCAGTGGCTCCTAGGCTACAACAGCATGATAATATGAACCAGCAACGAGCACCCTCGCTTGCAGTGGAGCCATGCGATCCCCAGGGCACCGACTGCCCCCGGGCCCAACCTCCACGGCCACCACTCTAGGCCCGCCAGCCCCATGGCACTGCTGCTACTGCTGCTGTGCAGTCCCCGACTCTGATTGACTACCCTCTCTGTCTGCACCCGCACCCCCTCCACCCGCTACTACTGACCCCCCACGGTCCTTGCCCTTGCCCTTGCCGCTAGAGGAGCGCCCTGAGTTAGAGGCAGCCGCTGCAATTTCGGCGACAGAGTCGGAGGCACGAGGGATAGTCAACTGGGAGGGAGCGCTGCCCTTGAAGATAGGCCCTGTCAGCGTGCCAGTGGAACCAGAGATGGCGGGGAGGCGGTCCTCTACCTCAGTCAGGGAGGAAGGGACGAGGTCGAGGTTGAGCTTTGAGGGGTGACGCGCGAGGAGCGCGTTGCGGGCAAAGGCAAGGCAGTCAGGGAGGCGGGTGACAAGGAAGTAGATAGTGGCATAGAGGGGGCCGGGACGAGCACCAAGTGGGCCTTAGTACAGGCTGCATGCCAGCGGACCTCGAGGGAGTGCAGATGCTCGACTAAGTCTGCTACAATGGTGAAGGAAGTCAGGTTGGGGTGGAAGAAGAGAGGAGGAGACAAACAAGAGTGGTAGACGACGGGGTGGAGTACCTAGCAAGGATAGTCATCCAGAGGGCAAGGGCAGACGCAGCACCCACAAAGTGAGAGTGCTCGTCAGCCGGCAGGCATCTGAGGATGGCGACACAAGCAGTGGCATCACCGGATGCCCAGACGGAGTAGGTGGTACAAGCAGCAGCGTGCACAGCTTGACATGCAGATGTCGCATTAGCAGCAAGAGCGCTTGGGCGGGGGACAGCAGGGAGCTCACCAGTGACGTGGGCATCCAGGGACTTGCCGCCGACGCCCAAACTCGTGAGCTGAAGGAGATTTGCCTCCTGCCAGGCGACGAAACCTACCGCCCGCCTACCCGTCCAGGCGTAGAATGACGATGTCAGGCGACGACATGTAGGCGGCTGCGGTGGCAGCTACGGCCGTGTAGACAAAGGCAGCTGAAGTAAGGACAGTGACGGCAGCTGCTACAAGGGCAGCAGTGGGAGCCAGTTGTAGCGGCTGCTGCTAGCTGGCGGCGGGGTAGCGACAGCAGTGAGCCAGCGACGAGCTGGCTGATGGTGATGGTGCGGCTGAGTGCTGGCGGTGATGGTACGATGATGGTTAGCAGCGGCAGCGGCAAGCATAGCGGTAGTGGTGGCAACAGCGGCAGGAGCAGCAGCAGCAGCGGCTGCTGTGGTAGTGGCAACAGTGGGAGGAGCTGGGGCAGTAGCTGCTATGGTAGTGGGAGGAGCAGCGGCAGCGGCAAGAGCGGCAGCAGTGGTGGCTGCAGTGGCGGCAGCGGCAGCGAGAGGAGCAGCTGCAGCAAGGGCTGCAGCGGCAGTAGCGGTAGCAGGAGTGGCGGCTGCAATGGCAGCAGCGGCAGCAACAGGTGCGACGGCAGCGGCAGCGGTGGGTGTGGCGAGCTAGCAGTGAGCTGGCTGGCGGCTGCAAGCTGGCAGGCCAGTGGCGAGCTGGCTGGCGGCTGCTAGCTTGCAGGCCAGTGGCGAGCTGGCTGGCGGCTGCTGGTAGCTGCTGGCTAGCGCTGGCGGCTGGCGCTGGTGCTGGCAGCCGGCTGCTACTGCTGACGCTGACTGCTGGCTGCTACTGCTGACGCTGACTGCCGGGGGTAAGGGCAGCGGCGCTGCTGGAAGTGGCAGCTGGCGGTCAGCGGAGGCGGCAGGCGGTGGGCGCTAGGGGCCGGTGTCTAGGTGCTCGCAATCGAGCTGGCAGCTGGAGCTGGCTAGGGCGAGCTGGTAGGCAGAGGCAAGCTGGCGCTGGCGAGCTTGCTGGCGCTGGTTATCTAGTCGGTGGCGAGCTGCTAGCAAGCGCTGGCAAGCTGGGGGGTTGGCTGGCGAGCTGGCTGACGCTGGCTAGCTGGTGCTGGCGAGCTGGCGCTAGCGAGTGGGTGGGCTGGCTGGCGCTGGCGAGCGAGCGAGCGGGATGGAGCGGGCGCTAGCGAGGTGGTTGGCACTGGCCAGCTCTAGCGCTGGTGCTAGCGAGCGCGGGTGAGCTGGCCAGCAGGCAAGCTGGCGTGGGCTAGCGCTGGCTACAAGTGGGGGGAGGGAGGGAGAGGCGAGCGACAAACTAGCGGGGGAGGGGGGCTGGCTATGAACGCAGGCGCGGGCTAGCAGCGGCTGTTGTAAGCTACGCGACGAGTAGGGGAGGACGGGGAGGGGACAAGCTACGAGGCACGCAATTAGGGGCGAGGCGTGCTAGGCTAGGGTGTGCTAGGGCGGAAGCGTCATCTACACATTATTTTTCGTATACTTCTCTTTCTATTTCCTAACCGACTTCATTCTTGACAAACCGCATATGCCATTATCATCTTAAATACAAAATAACGTTCCTTACAAATGTATGAAGTTTACAATAGGTGGTGGAATATCTTCACTCTAAATGTCTACACTTAATGTTGCATATATGATATACCATAAGTTTGTTACACTTTCCATCCCTACATTGATCTATTTACAAGCCACGCAACCCACCCGACTATTCTCGTCGAGCCTTGTCTCATCCTTTGTCGACTAGTACGGATGTGACCTATGCAACATTTGCGACAATTGTAAATGCAACCTCAGGCGTCGGCTTGTTTTCCTGAAGCATATGTTACGTTTGTAATTTTTATTTTTTATTCACACCTTCGCACTTTTTTAAAGGTGTCGCTGGATGTTGGAAATTTGTTGCCGCGCTATATAATAGTATATTTGTTTATAAAATATTATATGATTTGATTTTTTGTGTGGAATTTCCAACCGGGGCACATCCGAAGTCGAGGCGCAATGTGGATATGCATGCCGTGCTTGGCAACGAATGCACGAAGCGTCCGAAATCCAGGTAACCCAGGACCTCGCACGTCAGGGTGTCCGTTCGCAAGGAGGAAATTTGTGTTGCCATGGTTTCCAAACAAACACGTATACGAAGTGGGTGCTACCATTAGCCAATTGACAAAAAAAAACAAGAGGCGACAAAATCGTTGCGGAGCTTATTTATTTTTTATATATAGTGTCTTATGCTACTTATCAAACTTCAAAGTCTGGGTATCCGTTAGTACTTAATAAAGTTTTTTTTAACAGATATACTATGTGGTACAGAAGTGCAGAAATGCAAATGTTTGAACCTTTCTTCCCCTCCAGTTCTGTTCTTCCTCCTCTGTATACTAGTCTCACATTTTGCACTTCTCTTCCAGCAAGTAGTAAGTATACATTCCTTGATTAGGCTGCTGCACGCCATCAGCCGAAGCTGACTGGTTTGCTCTCAGTTTTACGACATATCACTCTAGCTCGGTAAGTTTAGTAGCCTAATTTCCTTTTTGAGCTATGTATCATTCACCTTTTCCAAGATTTCTTCTCTCATTTTTCACAAGCTAGTTGATGAAAATCTAGAAATCACTTTCAGCTTTGATAGATGGCATGCATTCTACTACCCTTCCCCTCACCTCCGTCTTCACTCCAGTTCTTTTCCTTCCTTTCATTGAGTTCTTCTCTACCTCCCCATTTCCATCCTCAGTTTGAAGTCTCAACCAATTTATTTCCCTATCTTCCAATGTTGTGGTTGCAATCTGTTTATGATTCCTTTTTTCCCCTTTTTTGTTTCTTGATTCTGCACGTCTTGACATAGATCTTAATCTTACTCCAGGATGTTGAATGTCTTCCATGGCGTTGAAGTTGTGTTTTTCCTTGGTTGTTCAATTGATGGTCTTTGCTCCCTTATTGTAATCACTCCAGTATCAGCAACGTGCATGAGCAATTCATTTTGTGATTCTCATCATTTCACATACGGCTCTTGATAGTCTCCGTGAGTGCAGTCATTTGAACTAGAATTGATGAGTGCTTTTTTTTTTTTGAAATTCACAATTTGTTTTGTTT